CAACTGACACGGCTACTCCTGTTTATACTGCTACCCCTACTGACCCTAATTCTCCTGTTCATGTCTCTAACCCAATTAACACGGCTACTCCTGTTTATACTGCTACCCCTACCGACCCTAATTCTCCTGTTCATGTCTCTAACCCAACTGACACTGCTACTCCTGTTTATACTGCTCCCCTACCCACCCTAATTCTCCTGTTCATGTCTCTAACCCAACTGACACTGCTACTCCTGTTTATACTGCTACCCCTACCGACCCTAATTCTCCTGTTCATGTCTCTAACCCAATTAACACGGCTACTCCTGTTTATACTGCTACCCCTACCGACCCTAATTCTCCTGTTCATGTCTCTAACCCAACTGACACTGCTACTCCTGTTTATACTGCTACCCCTACCGACCCTAGTTCTCCTGTTCATGTCTCTAACCCAACTGACACGGCTACTCCTGTTTATACTGCTACCCCTACCCACCCTAATTCTCCTGTTCATGTCTCTAACACAAATGACACGGCTACTCCTGTTTATACTGCTACCCCTACCGACCCTAATTCTCCTGTTCATGTCTCTAACCCAACTGACACGGCTACTCCTGTTTATACGGCTACCCCTACCGACCCTAATTCTCCTGTTCATGTCTCTAACCCAACTGACACGGCTACTCCTGTTTATACTGCTACCCCTACCGACCCTAATTCTCCTGTTCATGTCTCTAACCCAACTGACACTGCTACTCCTGTTTATACTGCTACCCCTACCGACCCTAATTCTCCTGTTCATGTCTCTAACCCAATTAACACTGCTACTCCTGTTTATACTGCTACCCCTACCGACCCTAATTCTCCTGTTCATGTCTCTAACCCTGCTGACCATGCTACATCTGTTAATGTTGTATTCAAAGGATGGACATAAAGCTGACACGTCAATAATCCCTATATTATTCTTGCCATGACTCCATTAGACCATTTTGTCAGATTTTTGGCAACATTCACCAATGATGGCTTACTCTCTGTCTCCTGGGAATTAGGGAAAAATTCTCCTAGGGAAGTTGATAAGTCTGCCTTATGTACCAGGGCTATAATAAACGCTTAAATCCTGTCAATTTGTGTCTTTTTACATGAATTATCTATAATCGTATGATTTGTTGTAGACCAGCATAT